AGCAAGGTGATCCGTCTGGAGCTTAGATTTGACTATCATGTCATCAATGTACGCCTCTACATTCCTCCCAATTTGATTAATGAAGACCGTATTAATTAATCATCCGCTGGAAGGTAGCAGGCGCATTTTTCAGCCCAAATGGCATCACCATATAATAGAATAATCCTTAATTTGTGATGAATGCCGTCTTCTCTTGATCTTTTTTCTGCAAGGGTATCTGATGGAAGCCTGAATAAGCGTCCATGAAACTCATCAAGGCATGACCGGCTGTAGAATCGACAAGACTGTCGATCTTTGGAAGTGGATAGCTATACTTTGGACACGCCTTGTTCAGATTTGTGTAATCAACACACATTCGCCAGGTACCATTCGGCTTTTTGACAAGGATAACGTTTGCTACCCAATCCGGGTAGTAGCATTGCCGAATGAACCCGGCATCCAGCAGCTTCTTGACCTCAGCGGCTGCCGCCTGAGATCTTTCCTCGCCGTGGTTCCTTTGCTTTTGCCACACCGGCTTCTTTTTTGGATCCACGGCGAGTTTGTGGACAACAAGATCCGGGCTGACGCTTGGCATCTCTTCCACTTCAAAGGTAAAAATGTCTTTGAATTCTTTCAGCAGTTGGTGCAAATTTGCACCCAACTTGGCAAAAGCAACCGTCCCCACTTTAACGGTTTGTTCCGGACGGCTGTCATCTAGAACAATGTCAATATTTTTGCCAGCCGGCTTGGGACGGTGATCATGTGACCGTTCTCCGATCAGTGATTGCTATTGCTTCTCTTTTTTTTACGGCCACCAGGTGGTCCGCCTTCCTCATTTTGTCGGCTACTTTGGGAGCAGGCGCGGCTTCCTTGAAGTCATCAAGGTCGATGGGCTCCTCGCCTTGGACGGCTGCGGCCACAGTAGGCTTGACATCTGAAAGATAACACTCCCTTGCCGTCTTCTAATCCCCATTTAGGGAACCCACTAACCCATCATCCCTCTCAAATTTGATCAGCATGAGGGATTGGATGATGACTGCCTTGGACTCGTTGAGGGTTGGACGGCCCAAAATCAGATTATAGGCGGTCAATTCCTCGACCACCAAGAACTTGACGACCATGTGCCGTCCCTCCCCCTTTTCTCCTAGCCGGATGGGTAGGTCAATCCTCCCCACCGGATGCACTACCCCTCCCCCAAAGCCAACTAAGGGGTGAGAGGCCTTGTGCATGCTGCTAGGCTTGTACTTGAGCTTCACCAAGCTCTGATAACTTATAAGGTCAGACGAGCTCCCGATATCAATAAGGATCTAGCCCACTCGTTGGTTAGCAACCTTGCATTCGATGACTATAGGGTCATCATGAGGCTGCTTGACCTTGCCCTGATCCTTCTCAGAGATGAGGACCTTGGGGAAGGTGTCTTTCGACGCCTGGCCCTCATCCACTTAGTTGACCAACTTTCTGATGTTGTCCTGGTACCCCGGATGGTAGGACCCCCTCCCGTGAAGCCGCCGGCTATAGTAAAGATCTACTCTTCATTAGTGTCAGAGCTTATAGCAAGGTTGTTAGGCTTCTTGGACGATTGTCCATTGTTTGTTTTGGGGTTACCTTTGGACTTCAACATATAGAACTTCAAAGCCCCCTCATCAGCCAGACAGTCTAGTAGACGCCTGAGGCTATAGCAGCCATTGGTGTCATGGCCTATATCCTCATGAAAATGACAGTACTTACTCTTGTCCCGACTTTTGATGGGACTTTTCATTGCTTCTGGTTTTTCAATGGTCAACCGGTCTTTGATCTCCATGAGGATGGAGGAGCAGTCCTTGTTGAACTCGTACTTGGGGACGTATGACTTCAACTCTCTCTTTTTCTTCTGGGACGGCTGACCAGAATGGTCTGCCACCCAGACTTTTTTTCTTTTCTTGCTCTCTTCTTTTTTAGCCGGCTGAGCAGACCGGCTCTCCTTTGTCGGACTTTTTAGGGTCCGACAGGTGCTTGATGGCACAGAGCTCCGTCGCCTGTATGTAGGCTTCGGCTTCCATCAATGCCTCTTGGAGGGTAGCAACCCTCTTTTTGACCAGGTCGAACTTAAAGGTCGACCCATCCTTCAGACCCTTAAAGAAGTCTGTGTAGGCAACTTCGTCAGACAGCCCGTGAATCTGAATTCTCATCAGATTGAACCGCCTGACATAGGACCTTAGCCCTTCTCTATCTCCCTGCTGAATAGCCCCCAAGTCGAGACTTGTCTTTTTGGCAGGTATGTTCATGGAGAAGTTGGACGCGAACAGGTATGCAAGCGTCTTGAAATTGTTGATGCATCCGGCTGGCAAATTGCCAAACCATTGTTTGGCTATGCCCTTCAATGTTGCCGGGAAGCATCGGCACCAGGCGGCATCATCTAACCCCTGTAAGTACATGAGGTTGGTGTAAGCCATTAGGTGGTCTTCCGGGTTGGTGGTACCATCATAGGAACCAACCAACACGTTCTTAACCTTGGCCGGCTGAGCCGCCTCGGTTTTCTCCCTGGAGAACACCGACAGCTGTTCCCCAAGGTTTAGCAGCCGGAGCTGCCAGTCCATGGGCTGGACATTTTGTGCCACCTGACCCCCAAAGAGGGCCGGCTGCATGTATGGTGATCCATACGGCATGTATAGCTGTTGACCAGTACGTGCAGACATGCCGCGTGATTGACTCTCTCGGTTTGTTTCCGAATACTTCATTGAAGTATTCCGGAAACTATCTGGGTAAGTCGACGTTGAGGACGACTCAGACAATTGTTGACTTCTCTTCTCCTGGATGAACATCCGGTCATCTGAGTAAGTCCTTTTTGATCCATTCGACTGAACTTTCCGGATGGCCTTCCTTTTCCCTGATTCAGGGAAACGAAGTTTGGATAGGTCGATCATGGGCCCGTCTGTCCCTTTTGGTTTAGGGTGAGGAGTAGGCACATGCTTCTTCCCGGAGGTAGAAGGCTTCTTGGCCAACTGACCCTTTTTGGTGTTAATTGACTTGTTTATCAGGTCCTTGATCTCCCCTTTGAAACTTGTCGTGAATTTCATGAGTTCGTCTCTAGTAACGGGGGCAGCACCCTCCGCCGCCTGAGGTCGCGCAGCCGGCCTGACGGTTAGGCTGCTAGGACCAGCTTTGTCTTCGCCCCGTTCCCTTGTTTCCTTGGAACGGGTGCGTCTCGTTCTGAATGACCCGTCTGGGGCCACGTAGGTGTCGACCTCAAAGTCGTCACCACTATCTTGGTCCGTGTGGACCTCAGTTTCGGCCATAGGTCGTTTGCCCTCAACAGGCGGTACAGATTCTGATGCCATCTAGGAAGTATTCTCCCTACAGACAGCGCCAAATGTTTCGGGGTTTTTGGAGTCCCTCGGGAGAGTTACAATTCCAAGAATGCGCGTCGACCGTCTGTACCTGCAAAACCACGGAAACTTCGGTTGGGTGGAGTTCCGCCTCCGACGATCAAGTTAAAACGTTTCCGGATGTATAAAAGTGCGGAATGTAAAGGTTATTCTCTCGAATTCCGAGAGAATTCTGTAATTAATATTGCTCGGGTTTGGTATATGTATTTATGAATGTGTAATAAATGAGGATTTTCCTCTATTTATAGCGGAAGGGGATCAGTTCCCCTTTTAGGGTTAAAGTGCCACGTGTCAGTAGAGGATTGGATCCCCTAAGGCCTCTCTGAGGCTGACATGTGTCAGCATGATATAGGGCCACATGGACATGGTATTTTTACCCTAAACAAGTGGGGTATGTGGCTAAGAGCTTCCTGACAAAAGGGTTTATCGCAAAGAAAGGAAGAGATGGAAAATTTGCATGGTGGTAGGAAATTGGTCTTTACTCACAAACCCCATTCGGGGAAACAAATGGAGGCAGGGGATGGCATTGGGAGAGAGGGGAGTGGAGTGGGGAAGGAGAAAGGGGTACATCTGGTGGCGGTAATTGATGAGGCTCGCAACAAACAGGGTTCTCAAATTTTGACTGCTATGCATGAAGTTCATGAAAATGAGATGGACAATGGGAAGAAGAACGAGACTCAACTTACTGGCACGACCGTTGTAATAGATGGTGAAATAGTTGGGGGGGGGAATGCTGGGGTAGAGGGGTTAGATTGCAACACACCACGAGGTGCAAGTGACATAGGGGACCATCAGCCATGTATGCGTACGAGTGGTGATGAGGATGAATTAAATACTGACATGGGGTTCAAAAAAACGGGGGTGGAAAAGAATAGATAAAATGAGTATGGGTCACTGCGGTGAAACTGAGAAGAAGGCGGTAGGTGTCTAGAGTACAATAGGTTAAAAGAGGCTTATGCTTAATGGAAGGAATATAGGAGTGTCGACTATGCAGGCGGAGGGGGAAAAAAGGAGGAAGATGGGTGGCAATTGTACTACCGAAGACGGTGTTATCCAAGTAAAGGAGGATGGGAATAACCATCCCCTCGAACAACAATGAAGCTCTTAAATTGGAACGTCTTCGGGGCTGGCAATCCGAAGACGGGTAACACCCTCCGGGATATATGTTGGAGGGAGAGGCCGAATGTGGTTTTCTTAATGGAAACCAAGGTGGATGCTAGGGTGATGGAGAGAACTAAGCATCGATGTGGGTTTGAGAACGGGGTAAATATGAGTAGTAGGGGGTAGTTAGGGGGACTATGTATTTGGTGTCATGATGTTAATGCTTCGATGGTGTCATATTCAGGCCATCATTGTGCGTTGGACATATGTGATAGTGGGGGTGTGCCGCTATGGAGGGCGTGTGGGATTTATGGCTGGTTGGAAACAGAAAATAAACACAAGACTTGGGAGTTGATGAGGACGTTAAAAGGGGAGAGTTCCATACTGTGCTTATTCTTCGGGGACTTTAACGAGATTACCAGCCCTATAGAGAAAGAAGGTGGTGCAATGAGGAGAAAGTACCTAATGCAGAATTTTCGTGATGCCATTGAAGATTGCAACTTAAGAGACATGGGGTTTAAAGGTTGTGCATTTACCTGGTAGTGAGGGAAAACAATGGAAACAGTAATCCGTGAACGTCTTGATAGGTTCTTGGGGGATGATGCGTGGTGCCAGCTTTTTCCTCAGTTTAAGGTCAAGCACTTGGTGAGAATTGCATTCGATCATGCGCCTATAATGATGAACACAACTATTGTTTTTTATCGAGGGAAAAGAAGCAAGCCGTATTGGTTTGAAGCTTGGTGGTTATCAAATGCAGAATGTGAAGAAGTGGTTGATACGGCATGGAAGGGTAATGCTGAGGCTATGGCGCATGAAAAAGTGGCATTGTGTTCAAGCGCTCTTACTTCATGGGTTAATAAGAAGTTTAGAGATGTAAAGAAGAAATTGAAAGATCGTGAAAATGAATTAAAAGAGGCTCAAGGGGCGGTTCTGGATGGCTTTTTACTTGAGAAATGCAAGAGGCTTGCCCAGGAAATTGCCGAGTTGAGGAGGATGGAGGGATCTTATTGGTTTGCAAGAGCTAGAGCAAACGAGATGAAAGACGGTGACAAAAATACTGCTTATTTTCATAGAAGGGCGAGCTACAGACAAGTTCGAAACCGGATTGATGGTATTTATGACTCTACAGGCATATGGAGAGAGGATGAAGAAGGAATTAAGAGTACTGTATCTTCTTATTTTGAGTCTCTTTTCCACTCTGATAATCCCTCGGACATAGAGGATGCGCTGCAAGGAGTGCTGCCTCTAGTGTTGACGTAAATGAATAATTGCCTTGATAAAATACCTACCGCAGATGAAGTGAAGTTAGCTTTGTTCTAGATGCATCCCAACAAAGCTCCGGGCCCTAATGGTATGCATGATTTATTCTTTCAAAAATTATGGCATATTGTTGGTCATGATATTGTCTGTATGGCTAAAATATTGGTGGGAAGGGCGACTTGATATTACAGTGTTAAATAAAACATGTGTCGTTCTAATCCCGAAATGTAACGAGCCTAAGCACATAAAGGATTTTAGACCTATTAGCTGTTGTAATGTTCTATATAAAATCATTTCTAAGACCCTAGCTAATAGGCTAAAACCGTTTCTGAACACCATCATTTCTGCAAACCAGAGTGCTTTTATACCAGGGCGTCTCATCACGGATAATGCCACCATTGCTTTTGAGATCTTTCATGCCATGAAGAGAGGAGGGGATAGGAGATCGGGGACTTTGGCCTTGAAGCTGGACATGAGTAAAGCTTATGATAGGGTGGAATGGGTGTTTCTGGAGAGAGCTATGAGAAAAATGGGCTTTTCTGATGGTTGGTGTAATAGGGTGCTGGACAGTAACTCGAAGGTATCCTTTTCTTTCAAACCGAACAATGAGATTTATGGCTCTATAACACCTTTGAGGGGGTTGAGACAAGGTGATCCTATATCCCCTTATTTATTTTTATTGTACGCTGATGTCTTTTCCTATTTGTTATCTAAAGCTTCCAGGGATAAAGGTATACATGGGGCGAAAATTTCTAGGGCTGCTCCCAGAATTTCTCACCTATTTTTTGGAGACGATAGCATACTATTTACGAGAGCTACTTTACAGGACTGCTCCAAAATTGCTAATATTATTAGGAAGTATGAACGAGCCTCGGGCCAAAGTGTCAATCTAGACAAAACTGAAGTTGCTTTTAGTAAACAGGTTTCTGCGGATAGGAGAACTGCTATTGTTGATATGCTGGGAGTCAGGGAAATAGAAAAGCATGAGAAATACTTGGGGCAGCCCACAATTATCGAGAAGTCAAATAAGGCTATCTTTGGGGGAGTATGTGACAGGATACGAAAGAAACTTAGTTGTTGGAAGGATAAGCTTCTCTCAAAGCCCGGTAAAGAAGTGCTTCTTAAAGCGGTTATCCAGGTAATGCCTACATATATAATGAGTCTTTTCCGGATACCAGAAAACGTCATTGAGGAAATTCATAAACTGATGAACCAGTTTTGGTGGGGATCGTCGGAAGTGAAGCGCAAAATACACTGGCAGTCCTGGGAAAAACTGTGTAGCCCAAAAGGCATTGGTGGGATGGGTTTTCGAGATCTGAAGGATTTTAATCAAGCCCTTCTCACAAAGCAATGCTTGCGGATACTACTCAATCCGGACTCTCTAGTCCATTCTGTAATGAAGGCTCGATACTTCAAACGGACGGGGGTGCTAGAAGCTTGCAGGGGTCATGATCCGAGCTATTTGTGGAGAATTTGGTGAGGGGCAAAAGGAATTCTTCGTGATGGTCTAGGATGGAAGATTGGTAATGGCATGGGGGTAAGGGTTTGGGAGGATCCCTGGCTGTTTCGGGATGGAGCTAGGGTAGTTCCACAAAGGGGGAGTCAAGTTGTGAATGAAGAGCTAACTGTGGCAAACCTGATGGGTGACATTCCAGGGCAATGGAATGAGAAGCTAGTGAGAGATGCTCTAGGTGTCGATGCGGAATTAGCTCTTGCGTTGCCCCTCCCTACCATGAGCGAAGAGGACCGAGTTTACTGACGACCCACCTAAAATGGTCAATTCACAGTCAGATCATGTTATTGGATGTTGAGGTTGGGTGATAATGCTGACAATACTTCGGAGGATATTTGGAAGTCGATATGGCATATGAATGCTCCCCCAAAACTCAAGCACTTCATTTGGAATGCTTTGAAGGGTAATATGGCTGTCAAATTGAGGCTACATCAACGACATATCGTTACTAATAGTAACTGTAATATATGCGAGTCACCTGAGGAGTCTATCACGCACACCCTATTTTTCTGTATGGCCTCAACAGCGATTTGGAGGAGGAGCAACTTTGAAAGCCTAATTGCTGATGCCCCTATGTCCTCCTTTGCAGCCTGTTGGCAACGGTTGTAGAGTAAGATTACAAAGGAGACCATGACTCTAATGGCTGCCTTGATGTGGGCAGCGTGGCGCTGTAGACAAGGTGTTCGAGAACTCAGAACCTGATGCTGTACAGGTTGCGGTAGGCAACTGCAATTATGTGGCTGAGTATACAGGTTATGCTGGGCGCGTGTTTGAGAAGGCAGTAGCTCCCTCACAGTGTTCTGCTACCAAATGGAAGAGCCCAGCTGTGGGGTGTGTGAAAATTAACATGGATGCCCACTTAGGTGAAAATAATATGGCAGCGTTGGGGGTGGTGTTCAGAGATCATGATGGCCAATTGATCTTAACGGCCACGAGACGAGTTCCTCTTTCTTCCCCTGAATGTGTTGAGGCCCAAACTATAAGATATGCTCTCCTGATGGCAAAGAGGTTTGGCTATAGGAAAATATCGGTGTAGTTCGATGCGCTAAATGTGATCAACTCGATTTTGTGCTCGAATATTGGTAGAGCACCTATATTTTCTGTTTATCGGGATATCACCGTATTTAGAGCCTCTTTTGACCTATGTGTCTTTTCTCATGTGAAAAGGGTTGGTAACACTGTGGCTCATTTAGTTGCTAGAAGTGATTTGGGTAGTGCATCGGAAATAGTTCGATTTGCCCCTTTCCTGCAAAGCATTGTAACTCTTGCCACTTTGGATTTATCTTCTTAATGTAAAGTTCCACGGTTTCTTCACAAAAAAAAAAAAAAAAAAAAAAAAAAAACAAAAAAAACAAAAAAAAAAAAGCAAAAAAAAAAAAACTAATGGACAATTAAAACGTCGTCGTCTGCGTTAATGGCACCGGGTAACTTCCTTTAATCTTCAATTCCAATCCCTCAATTTGTTATTCTCTTTGATTATTGCAATACGAATTTTCCGACTTGGGATTTCCCTTGTGTGGTGGGAAAGCCTATGCTACGGCATGACGAATAGGGATGTCACTGGGGCGGGTCTAGTAGGAGACCCGCCCCATCCCCGCCCCGATGGGGCGGGGATGGGTCTAGCTTTGGCGGGTCGCGGGGCGGGGATGGGTCTAAACTCCATACCCGCCATGGGTGATGGGGCGGGGATGGTTGTTATGTAATACCCGCCCCGCCCAGACCCGCCCCATACCCGCCCCGCCCCGCCCCGCCTGACCCACCCCGTACCCGCCCCGCCCCGCCTGACCCACTCCATACCCGACCCATACCCGCTTTATACCCACCCCATACCCGCATAAGACCCGACTGCATAATACGATTAAAAAAAAAAAAAAAAAAAAACTACACCTAATGAAATCTAACCCAATAACCCACTTACCCAATACCCACCCTCATTCAGTCATTCACAAAACAAAAACCCTAGCCTCTCACTGCCTCACTCTCTCCTCTCACAGACTCACAGTCTCACAGCTCACTGCGCTGAATCTCTTCCTCAAGCCTCAAACCCCTCTCTTCGATCCTTCTTCTTCAACCTCGTGGTCCTCGTCTGCAATCAAATCTCTTCGATCCTTCTTCTTCAACCTCGATCTTGCAAGGCTGCAACTCATTCAATTTAGGTAAACGTTTTCGCATTATTATCTTTGAATTTTCTTAATTCAATATGTTCAATTAAGAATTTCTTAATTGGGTTTTCGATTGAAAGTATGTGATTCGTCTTTTATTTATGATTTGTTCGATTGCGGTTTTCAATATTTCATTTGATTGAGCTAGGGTTTCGTGTTATATTTGTATGATACTTTCAATCTAATGCAATGTAGTTGATTACTGTTATTTTTTGTATGATAATGTATGAATATGATGACCTCTAAATTTTTTAGTTTATTAGGGTTTTAATCTAGAATTTTCATTACTTGTTTTTTTATATTTAATTTCACAAAATAGATATAATAAAGTCGAAATATGTATAGATTGTAATTAGTTTTTCTCATTAATTTCAGACTTATAAGTTTATGTTTATTATTTTAGCTTATGTGTGATAACTAAATTCGGATTATGTTGGAGCAATTTCAGACTAATTTCAGACTCATTGGGGGAAGTTGGAGCAATTTCTATTGAGAATTGTTAAATAACCCAGGTAAGAATTTTCTTCAAATTTTGTTGTATTCTTTGTTATTGAGATTGTATAAAAGCGTGAGAAATGAATTTCAAACTATTATCATAGAAGTCCCAAAGGATGCTTCATGCTACATGTTTAATTTTAAGAATAAGCAAGAATAGTATGCTATACTATCAAAACATAAATCTGGCCACGGATGGTTCCATTACTTCCATATGTTAACTGTGTAATTTTGGGGAGCCGGATGGAAGTGGGTGGGATGAAAGAGTGGTACGCGGAAATTTTCAGTCATTTGAGTCCAATGAAATCTTGGGTATTCTGCTAGCATTGCACAACTAGTTGATATGTTTGTATGGTGATACGACAAATCTGGAAATTATATAGTGAAGTTGGGGTAACACTTATTTCTTTTCTTCAGAAAATCAGTTAATGGTATGGTTGGGTGACTTGGGTCATTGTTGGATACTTGGATCTGAGAATTTGGAAGAATGTATGGAAGTTTGATACTTTGATGTGACCCTGCAGAGTAGCAAGAGATTCTCTGTCTCTTCTAGCAGCATATGTACAGGTGAGGGAGTTGTGTATAAGCAACTAAAAGATTGTATAAAAGCGTGAGAAATGAATTTCAAACTATTATCATAGTATCATACTATTGTTGTTATACTGTAATTTAAGTAGTACTCAATATTGATGAAATTGATCACAATGTATGCAAATTGAGTTGGGGTAATGAAAATGTGGATGGATAATCAGGTGCTGATTTTGGTGGTTAAGAAAGTGGGTGTGTATAGATAGAGTGGAAGAACAGGTTGGATCTTTAATGTCGTAAGCTGACAGCTTTTAAGAATGAAGACTTTGAGACACCAAATTGTACAACTACTGTACTATATTTTGATGTCCTTGTGTTTGTGTTTGTTGTCTCCCTCTTTCTTACAAAATGAGAGTACTAAATTTGGTGATGCTGTTGCTGGCAGCCAGTATGTAGTGGTTAGTGACTTAGTGTGATAGGTGGTTAACTGGTTATGCAGCAGCAACAATATATTAACATAGCAGTTACAGTATGACATTATGCATTGATAGGCCTTTCAACATGATATCTTCCGATAGCTGTGCTAGAAGCATGATCTGCCTTTGCTGCTGTGCATTGCTAATTTGCTATTATTAATTTATTATTGCTGTTTCTGAGATGTCAAATGTGTTCAATACTGTAGTCAATATGTCTAGTGCATTAATTGTCTTTATTTAATTTTTACAGGGGAGAATTTGTCTGAGATGTCAAATAACGCTAGTGTTCCCACTTCCGCTAGTAATACTCCAATTGCAATAGATGATGATGAAAGTCCTCTAGAGACTAATTCCGATCCTTCTCTCCTACCAATTACTAGTAGGCATACTTCGGCAGTGTGGTCTGATTTTAAGAGAAAGAGAGTTGGGGATGTGATAAAAGCTGAGTGCAACCATTGCTCCAAGCTACTTGCTGGTGGGTCAAAAGCAGGAACTACTCATTTGAAAGATCATATAAAAATATGTCCAAAGAGAGTATGTCAAGATCTTCGACAAACAAGAATGTTTGGTACAAAAAAAAACTTGAATGATAAGAATGACACGATGACATTGGCTCCTTACGAATTCCACCAAGAAGATGGAAGAAGAGACTTGGCAGAGATGATTATTTTGCATGAGTATCCAATTAGCATGGTTGAGCATATTGGTTTTAGAAAATATAGCAAGACACTCCAACCTGGATTTAAAGTGCCGTCTCGCAACACAACTAGAAAAGATATTATGAAAAGATATGAGCTTGAGAAGGAGAATGTTGCAACCTTGTTGAGGAAAGCAAAGGGTAAGATTGCCTTAACTACTGACATGTGGACAGCTGACAACCAGAGAAAAGGTTATATGGCGGTCACCTCACATTTTATTGATAATACATGGAAGTTGCAAAGTCGGATCATAAGGTATTGTTTTCTGGTTACTTATAACTTGTTTATTTTTTTTGGTTGTCTTTGTATTGCTATAGTTTTTTGTGTGAATTTTAAAATCATAAGAATTATAAGTTGTGATGATGGATGATAATAATGAGCCCATATATCCACAATAGTATTGAATAAACAAATAATATATGTTATTTTCATTGGTTTTGGTAGGTTTTTATATGTCCCCGCCCCTCATACTGCTGAGGTTCTTGCTGATGCTTTGAAAGAAAGCATTCAATCATGGAATCTTGATCTTAGGTTGTCTTCTATAACCGTGGATAATTGTTCAACTAATGATGCAATGATGGAAATTTTGAAAGGAGTGTTTCCATATGGCTCACTTTTATTGCGAGGTGATTTTTTTCATATGCGTTGTTGTGCTCACATATTAAATTTGATTGTTCAAGATGGTTTAAGTGCTGTGGTATCAAATGGTGTTCAAAGAATTAGGGATAGTGTTGTGTTTTGGACTGCTTCTGATAAGAGAGTACAAAGGTTTGAACAAGTGGCTAAGCAAATAACTCCTGAGTGTAGTAGAAAGTTAGCACTTGATTGCAAAACCCGGTGGAATTCTACTTATGAAATGCTTTCTATTGCTACTAGTTATAAAGAAGTGTTTGTTGTTTTAAGTGCTCGTAATAATTTATATAAGAATCCACCGACCCCTGAAGATTGGGAAAAAGTTGAGAAAATATGTGAACATTTGGAAGTGTTTAGTAAAACTACCCTTAGTTTTTCAGGAACAAATTACCCTACGGCCAATCTTTATTTTCCTAAAATTTGTGCTTTGAGAATTGCTATTTCTGGTTGGCTTTTATCTCCTCATGATTATGTAAGGAAAATGGCCGACATTATGTTACAAAAATATAACAAGTATTGGGCTAGTGTGAATGGCTTAATGGGAGTGGCAACAATACTAGATCCTAGATACAAAATGGCTCTTATTCGCTTTTATTTTGCAAAAATTTTTGATGAGCATGACTTTGAAATTGAGGTTCGTAGAATTAGTGATCTTCTACGAAGATTGGTTGATGAATATGGGTCTAAGATGGGTAAAACTCAAGGTAGTAGCAACCAACAAGATTTTGATTTGGGTAGTAGTAGCAAATCCAATGAAGAGACCTTTATGCAAGAATTTGCTGAATTTTTACAACAAGATAAGGACTCAAGTCATGATATATCAGATTTGGATAAGTATTTAGATGCTGCTAATGTGCCTCTAGTCCAAGATTTTGATATTCTTAACTGGTGGAAGACAAATGGAGGCACATATCCCATTCTTCAGCAAATAGCACGAGATATATTGAGCATTCCTGTTTCTACTGTTGCATCAGAGTCCGCATTTAGCACAAGTGGTCGGGTTCTTAATCCTTATCGTAGTCGGCTTTTACCGGAAGCTGTAGAAGCTTTGATGTGTACTCAAAATTGGATATGGGCTGCTTCTAAAAGTAAATAGCTAAAATAAAATTTTATTTAATTAATAATATTATTTATTTATTTATTTTAATTAATTCACATTGTATTTGCAGATTGTGGAGAATTTAAGGATGATGAATATGCTAAATTAGTGGGAGAATTAGAGGAAGGATTTGAAACATGTGATATCGATTCTGGAACAAGTGGACTTTGCACCGAATAATTCAAGGCCTAATGAATTTCTTGTTATGTATTTGAATATTTGTAGACTTGTAGTTATTTTTAATATTTGGACTTTGGACAATTTGGAGTTATTTTTTTTTTTTTAAAATGGTTATTTTTAAAATGGTTGATCTTGCAGTGGTTTTTGTTGGATTTGAGTTAATGGGATTTGTATGCACTGCTACTTTTTCATTAGTCTACTATGAAGTCTGCAGGGTTTCAGTTGACACTTGAAACTTGAAAGACAGTTGCTTTTCTCAATACTAAGTTGGCGGGTATGGGGCGGGGAATTGGCGGGGATGGGGCGGGGGTTTGGCGGGTATGGGGTGGGGGTTTGGCGGGTATGGGGCGGGGACGGGGATGGGGCGGGGGTGGTTTTAGAGTTGGACCCGCCGGGGCGGGGACGGGGATTATTTTCAGACCCGACATGGGGATGGGGATGGGGATGGGGATGAAAATGTGAGGCGGGGATGGGGATGGGAATGCCAAAATCCGCCCCGCCCCGCCCCGTTGACACCCCTAATGACGAATCGTTGATGGAATAAGAATTGAAGGTGGGAATTTTTAAACTTAGGCAAGTGAATTCTTCTTTCTTTACTTGTGAAGGAGGCTGTTTCTGTTGGTTCCTCATCTTAGGAGCCTTATGCATTTCATTATGTCTTGTAGTTAGCTTGTAGGTTGTTCGCTACTTATGAGGATTTCTGATAAGGCTTATGGGTTCATTATGCAGGACATTGTTGTTGGGGAAGCTTGTGCAGACTTGCGAAACCAATTAGATATTACTTATCCTGTCAACAATGGTATTATTCAGAACTGGGATGATATGTGTCATGTATGGGATTATGCATTTTTCAATGAATTGAAGGTAGAATTTGTTGCTCTCTTTTAAAAATTGCTTGTAAAATTAAAAAAAACTCTAATTTTCTATGCTTTCTCTCTGTTCTGTTGCAATCTTTGGCAGGTAGATCCTACGGAATGTACTCGTAAAATTTTGTTGACAGATCCACCGCTGAATCCATCAAAAAACTGTGAGCAAATGTTACTTTTTATTTTTTTGTTTTTTGTTTTTCCTGATCCTGTCAACATTTCTTAGGAAATTTGTATAATTAAACCAGCAGTCCAGCATTCTTATTTGCTCATCATACTTGCACAATTTTAATTGTTAAACGAGGGCGGTTGATGATTTGATCATAATGTAGGTTGAGACAATGTTTGAGAGATACAATTTCTCTGGTGTCTTTATCCAAATCCAAGCTGTCCTAACGCTTTATGTTCAAGGTGCTGTAAGTCTGTAGCTCTACATTTTTTATATGCAAAAAGCTGCATAATACCTTTAAATCCATAGAACTGAAAGTATCAGTACTCCTGTCAAACAATGTAATCACATGCACCATGGAGATTAACGCTCTTGCTCGAAAACAGTTGATTAACGCGGGTGGTGTCATTGAAACGACCTTCTCGCCTTGGGAGTACTCCTTAGAGTTTAGCTCTTACATATATGATAACGAGTGGCGCTTTAATCGTGAAGCCTTACTGGCTGACCTAATAAGCAGGTAAATTACTCTGTATTATTTTTCATGGGCATTATCTTAATAAGTCTCTTTGTGTTGAAACTAAACAAGGAAATGGCAGTTGAAGATCCATCAGCACCACATGGAATAAAGCTTGTTTCTAGTTTGACAAAGACCTTTACACAAGTGAATTAAAGGTTAAGGCATAGACTTCTTGAGTCATTTCTAGTTTATTAAGTCAAGTCAAGCAGAAACAGTTAAAAGGACGTCTCCCTCAATCTTTATACGTAGTATTAGGCTCCTCATCTGCCAAATTTGCCAAAGAATATTCTATACGAGTATTAGCTGAGATCAAAATTCCTAGTGTTTTCCATCTTCGTTCACTACTCAAAAAAGCTAATCATAAAATGGAAATTGTCAAACTATGCCTTGGACTCAAGGACATATAAACTAATACTGGAATAGTGGTATAAAGTCGGGTAACAATCTGTGTGCTACCTCCAATTAGCGTCTTGTCATATGAAGCATATGAAAAATGGGTCATATTTTATCATATTTTGGTATTTTTAAACTGTGAATGGGATGTACTTACTGGTAAACTGTGAAAATGTACTCAAGATCAATAATATGATAGACTCGTTTACTAAAAAAGTCCAGAATTCCAGATAAGTCATTAATTTTCTGCTTCAATATAATCTAAACATTGATAAGATTTTAAACTAAACATTATTTGAAAATCTCTTCTTAATTTTGTTTCATTTCAAGATTTGTAAATGTTTTCTATCTTTCTAACATATGTTGCCCTATTTGTGATACCCGCTTAATCTCATACTCTCCCACCCTTACAATTTTTCAAAATAATTTCAGAAACTCCATTAAAAAAAGTCATTTTCACATTCACCCCATTTTCTTTGTAACTTGGCAAGTATTGCTATTAGCTGTAAGAATAATTTTAACAAAAAAGAGTATTTGATCATTTTAATAGGTACAGTAAACATGCCTTATAAATAACAGCTGCTTGAATAACAATTTCATAAATACTAAGTAAGATTTATAACTTTTCAAAAACTAGCTACTTACTTATATTATACTCTGTATTTGACAAGGACATATGCTATCCGTTATTGTCAAAAAAATTAAAAGGACATTTGCTATGTGTGTGGTAACTAGTAAGGGCCGGGGGATTAAAAAATCTATTTAATGAGATGGGAATTAAAGCTAGAAATCACCTCAAAAATAAAACCTGAAAAGAAATGAAAACAAACAATATGAAGCCACTTCATCCTCTGTTTTTCATACAACCAACCCTTTCATTGTTGCTCCTTGTTTAACAATGCAACAACTTACACCAATTTATTCCCTCGATAGCACTAATTATTGAGGGAACGAAACTGATTATATGGCATTGTTAGCCATCAAGAGCAAGCTTATCGACCATAGTCCTGACGGTGTTTTGAGCTCACTGAATCACTCTCATCACCATTGTTTATGGGAGGGTGTCACTTGTGGGCCCAGATATAACAGGGTCGTCAAGTTATGGCTACCCACAAAAGGTTTAGGAGGAACTATATCTCCCTTCATTGGAAACATAAGCTTCCTGAGATTGATTTCATTTACAAATAATAGTTTGCACGGTCAAATTCCCCCTTGAGGTTAGTTGTTTGTTTAGGCTACGATCACTATATTTGCCCAACAACTCTTTTAGTGGGGAAATTCCGGCCAACATATCAAGCTGCATCAACCTACAAAATCTTTCTTTAGATACCAACAATCTACAGGGGGAACTTCCAATGGGATTAGGAGAGTTATCCAACCTCAAATTGTTATGGGTTTACTCTAATAAACTCTCTGGTATGATTCCCCAATCCATCTCTAACCTTTCCTCTCTTCTACCTTTAGACTTGTCTAATAATCAACTACACGGGGAACTTTCAGTGGGATTAGGAGAATATCCAACCTCAAATGGTTAGGGGTTAACTCTAATAAACTCTTTGGTAAGGTTCCTCCATCTATTTCTAACCTTTCTCCTCTCTTCTAGAATTATTCTTGTATGACAACCAACTACATGGGAGACTCCCTATGGAATTAGGAGCATTGCCTTGCCTCCAAACTCTTGCTGCTTCCTTCAATAGTTTTACTGGTATGATTCCCTCATCAATCTTCAACCTCTCCTCCCTTCAAAGTATAGATTTGGCGTACAACCAACTACAGGGAAGATTGCCACAGTTTTTTGCTTCACTTCCTCAATTAGAAATTATGTCACTTGCCTCTAACCATTTGTCAGAATCATTACCAATATCCTTATCAAACCTCACAAGTCTTCAAATAATTCAGTTGGATGTAAACAACTTCACAGGTAGCATTACCAATTTTCATTTTAGACACCTCCATAACCTGCAAAACCTAAATCTTGGTAAAAATAGTTTTGAAGGTGACATCTCTTTTATTAGTACATTGGTTAACTGTAGCAAATTGGATACCCCTTGGTTTGGAACAAAATCAATTCACAGGATTATTGCCAAGAGTAGTAGTCAATCTTTCCACTACTTTATCATGGTTTGATATTAGTCAAAATTTATTAAGTGGAGGATTTCCTAAAGATTTTAGTAATCTCATCAATCTTAGATACATATCCATGTCAAGAACTGGGCTCACTGGAACCATCCCTCAAGATCTTGGAAAGCTTCAAAAGCTAGAGAAATTATATCTCTATAACAACAAATTGACAGGTGAAATTCCTATTTCAATCGGAAATTTATCGCGTTTGAGCACACTGAGCTTATCAAATAACAACTTGCAAGGCAGAATACCTCCAAGCCCTGGCAATTGCACAAACCTGTTATATTTGTATCTATCGAATAATAATTTCAATGGACCATTGCCTAAGAATCTCTTTGCAGGATCTGCCAAGTTTATTGAACTAGATTTATCTTATAATAAATTAGAAGGGCTCATACCTGTTGAGATCAGTAACCAAGTCAATGCAATAGCATTGGGTGTGTCCGGAATAAATTGACAAGGGAAATTCCAGATATCTTTAGCAACCTACCTGAACTTGCAATACTGTATATGGGTGATAATATGTTCTGTGGTTCAATTCCTACAACATTCGCCTCTTTGAAAAGTCTTTTAGAAGTTGATCTTTCTAAGAACAATCTTTCTGGCATCATTCCTGAATCTTTTTTTACCTTTCCCATGATATACCTCATAAACCTATCTTACAATAATTTTGAGGGAAGTGTTCCAACTACAGGAGTATTTGCAAATACAAGTGCAATAATTCTGGATGGCAATAGTAGGCTCTGTGGTGGAATTTTGGAGCTGCATCTACCAAGATGTGTGGAGAAAAAAGGGAAGAAAAGAAGAATGTTTCATGCTCACAAGCTGACATTTATGATAATAGTGCTTTTGTTGGGATATCGCTCATGGCCACATGCATATGGCTCTACCTGAAACGTCGTAACAAAAAAGGGAAATACTCATTCGATGCACTACGGAAGGAGTCATTCTTGAAAGTGTCCTACGAAATGCTGCTCAAAGCAACTGATGGATTTTCTTCGAGTAATCTACTTGGCTCGGGTACTTTTGGGTCTGTGTTTAAAGGGATGCTTGATGGAAAGACGGCTGCCATTAAAGTACTCAACTTGCAACAAAGAGGTGGGTCTAGGAGTTTCATGGCAGAGTGTGAGGCATTGAGGAATATCCGTCATCGTAATCTGGTTGGGATACTAACAGCATGCTCAAGTATGGATTTCCAGAGAAACGATTTCAAAGCTCTTGTTTACGAGTTCATGCCCAATGGAAGTGTTGAGAGATGGCTACACGAAGATGGAAATATGAGCCTTCTATAAAGGTTGGATATAGCCATTGATGTGGCCCATGCAATAAATTATCTTCATTATGAGTGTGGAAGCCAGATTGTGCACTGCGATCTAAAACCGAGCAACATATTGCTTGACGATGACATGGTTGCCCGTGTAGCAGATTTTGGGTTAGCAAAGGTTCTTGATCTTCCCGTGCATCCAAATCAAAGCAGTTCAATTGGCATTAGGGGAACTGTTGGCTATGCTGCTCCAGGTAATTAATATTATGATTTCACAATTTTTTTTTTATGGACAATCTTCCATTAAATGGTATCTGAATCACTTAATTTTATCATGCATGTGATTTATTATAGTAACGGTTTCTATAATTTATATCTAAAATATTTATTATATAGAATTTCTACAAAATATTTGGGGACATTAAATATAATATGAGTATATTATAGGCATACATAGGTAGGAAACATAACAGTCTTTTGCATCATTCATGGATGTAAACTATGTGATGGAAATTTGTTTGTCTTTTAAGAGTATGGCTTGGGAAATGAAACATCTCTTGAGGCTGATCTCTACAGCTACGGAATTCTACTTCTTGAGCTAATGACAAGAAAGAGATCCATCAACGATATGTTTAATGAAGACTTCAACCTCCATATGTACGCAAAGGCAGCATTACCAGAACAAGTGTTGCAGATTGTTGACTCAACACTTTTGGAGGAAGAAAGTGATGAAGCAGATGAAACAAGACCGCGAACTCAAGTGATACTTCAACACGAGAGGAGTGCATGGTGTTTGTCATTAAGATTGGAGTTGCTTGCTCAAGTCAATATCCACATGATCGAATGAAGATAAGGGAAGCAATAAGCGAGCTATATCATGCAAGAAACATCCTTTGCTAACCAAGAGGTACACTAATATAAAACTTGTCCAATCAACTATTTTTCTTGTCATTCAACAAATATAAAACTTGTCCAATCAACTAGTACTATTGATGGTAATGTTAGTGCCTAATTGCAGGGGCAACTTATTGAGCATTACAATGCTCAAGATGATTGGCCTCGCCGTACTAAATCCATAGCAAGCCAAAGAAGCTAGCATCTTGCTACTCTAGAGGTGTTCTGTGCATGATTATAAAAGAAATGATACATTTCAGTATGAGCACAGATAAAAGTAGTTAATTTCATTTTATTTCCTGTAGCTTAGTAGCTATTATATCATACGTGCATCTAAGTATTGTAAGTAACTTCTGTTCTTTCCTTAATAGTATAATCAATTCATGTTCCGTGATTATGTCTATGGAGTAGTTGAATTAGAAATTTCAAACTAATTGTTCTATTTACATTTTATTTGTCCTTAATTTCCGACACTACAAAACACTGAGTTAACCTCATTTTTGGGGAAGGCAAAATTATTGATAATGACATTAAAATTGAAAAGTATTTCACATTTGATATTAGAAAAAATGTCAAAAATAATACAAACTTTGAGCGGTCTTTTAAAAACAAGTCAATCTTTTGGTTATTTCTGAATAATACAAAGTTTGGGGAGTATCCGCTTTAAACAAGTTATAACCAGTTGGTGACTTGATTAGCGAGTATATGAAACCCCCTTGTCGGCCGCCCAGCCCCTCCCCGTGCCAGCAACACCAACCACGGCATCCATACCCCTTCCCTCTCCCCTCCAATCCTCGACTGCCACTTACCACGAAAAACACACGAATCCCCCACCAAAACCCCTAACCATGCTCAGAAACTTCGTCAAAACTCGAACTCTTCGATATCACCACCGATTCGGTATAATTTCTTAATTCAATATATTTTTATATTAAAATCATTTTTGTTTGTTTCGATTGAGGTTCTGATTTTGATTTTGAAATTTCTGGATAATTACGTCACTATAATTAATCAAACGATAAACAAATCAAGGAAAACAACAACAATGGCGGTTCTCCATCTCCATTACCATCACCACAACAACAACAATCATCGAATTCAGAGATCTCGAATGTGAGAATTTCATCACCAGAAACTCCGATCTATCCATTATTCGAGGGTCGGGGAAGGAGCGTTTGGGGGTTTCGGGGATGGGGGAGCAAGTTTGTGGGTTTTTTGTGGGGAGGGGAGTGAGAGGTGAGAGCGGCGCTACTTGTTGTGGTTGTTTGTTTGCGGTGGGGAAGACGGTGGCAGAGGTGTGGTTGTTGCAGACTGATGCGATTCGGAATACAGAGATGAAATCACAACCGGACAATGACTATGTATTTTCGCCCAATCCAACCTTAACTGATTTAAGGAGTATTGGTATACAATTAACTAGTGAATATCCAATATTGTAGAAGGGAACTCACGAGGATTAATTATATAATTGCAATTGTAATTGATAGTACAAGAGATAGAGAGAGGGAGAGGAAAGGATTGATTGATATATTATCCTTATTACATGAGCATTGCTGGTTTTTATATAGCTGCCTAATACATTCCCCTTACATTAACAATATCAAGCTAGCCTGATACATTCCCCTTACATCAACAATATCCAGCTAAGCATAACCGAATGAGCTGATTTCAAGGAAGTTTGTTATATTAAGATTCTTATTCTAGAAGATTACTTGGAAAGCTTAGTAAAGCCGTTTTCCTTTCCTTCTCCTGTAGTCACGTGCACTGCATGCTTGCTCATAATATGGCTCACATCAATACTCTCCCCTTCAGTTGATACTTGACCCCAAGGATCAAAATCAGGGAACCTGTCCTCAATGCTGTGAGCATCTTCCCAAGTGGCATCTTCTGGGGCGGAATTTGACCACTGGACCAACCATTGAACCACAACATGGTTATTTCTCTTGACGCCTCTCTTGCTGATTACTACAGTAGGAACCTTTAGGTCAAGGGTGGATGGCAATGAGAGAGGAGAAGGGTCTGTGTTTGGGGGAATGGGACCATGGTAGGCTTTGAGTTGAGAGACATGGAATGTAGGATGGATTCTTGCTGTGGGAGGTAGTTGAAGAGTGTATGCCACCTTTCCAACCTTTTTCACAATCTGGTAGGGGCCAAAATATCTCATTGCAAGCTTCTGATTAGGCCTATGCTCAAGTGACTGTTGCTTATAAGGTTGGAGCTTGAGGAAGACCCAACTTCCCTCTGAAAAATTTATGTCTGTCCTGTGCCTATCAGCAAGCTGCTTCATTCTGTTCTGAGCAGTAGAGAGATGTTGTTTGATGAGGAGTAAGGTTTTTTCCCTTTGTTGCAAACTTCTGTCCACACTATCGACTAAGCTGGCACCATCTATGTAAGGGATGTGAAGTGGAGGAGGTTGGCCATACAAGACTTCAAATGGAGTTGTTTGGATGGCTGATTGAAAATTGGTGTTGTACCAATATTCTGCCAAAGGTAACCACTTAGCCCAATCATGAGGAGCATCCCTACACATACACCTTAAATATGCTTCTAAGCACCTATTGAGAACCTCTGGCAATCTGTTTGAGGGTGGTAGGCAGTGGAGAGCTTGTGTTGAATGTGAAGCATTGTCATTAATTCCTTCCAAAATTCACTTATAAAAATTTTGTCCCTGTCAGAAATTATAGCTTTAGGAAAGCCATGCAGCTTATACACATAATCTATGTAAGCTTGTGCTACCTTAATGGCAGTGAAAGGATGTGCCAAGGGAATGAAATGAGCATACTTGCTCAATCTGTTAACTACCACCAATATCACTTGCTTGCCCATGGAGGTAGGTAAACCTTCAATAAAATCCATTGCTACCTCCTCCCAAACCCTTTTAGGAATAGGTAAAGGTTGTAACAGCCCAGGAGAAGCACTAGGGTCATATTTGCTTTTTTTGACAAACTATGCAGCATTTAATATGATCCCTGATGTCTTGCTTCATGCCCTTCCAGTAGAACATGGTCTTAACCCTTCTGTATGTAGCTTCAATGCCAGAATGTCCCCCCATGGAAGAGTCATGCATCCATTTGAGGATTTGATCCTTAAGTGCTCTCTTATCTCCAATTACCAACCTGCCCTTTCTTCGTAGCTGTTGATTGTCCCAAGTGTGAAATTTATGAGATGCTGGCTTGTTTTGCAGGTCTGCAATCAATTTCTGCAAGTTAGGATCAGTTTTCCAGGTTTCTTGAATTTCTTCCAGAAGAGAGGAGTGGATGGAAGTCACCAACATTTGCATGAGTTGTTGCTCAGGGACTCTGGACAAGGCATCAGCCACTGTATTTTCCTTCCCTTTCTTATACTCAATCACATAGTCCAGGCCTGCCAACTTGGACAACCACTTCTGCTGAAAAAGAGTCACCACCTTGTGCTCCAACAAATATTTCAAACTTTGTTGATCAGTTTTTATGGTGAATGGCATGGTTGTCAAGTAGTGTTGCCATTTCTTCACTGCAAAGACAATTGCTAAGAGCTCTCTTTCATAGGCAGACAAGGAATCACTCCGCTCGGACAGAGCCTTACTGATGTAGGCTATAGGGTGACCCTCCTGCATGAGCACAACACCTATGCCCTTCCCTGAAGCATCTGTCTCCACAACAAATGGTTTAGTGAAATCTGGCAATGAGAGTACAGGTGGTGTGGTCATGGCTGCCTTAAGTTCTTTAAATGCTGTAGTTGCTTGTTCTCCCCAATAGAAAGCTTCTTTCTTTAATAAGTCAGTCAAGGGCCTGCAGATTTTCCCATAATCCTGCACAAACCTTCTGTAATAGCCTGTTAGTCCCAGGAATCCCCTCAACTGCTTGAGATTCACAGGAGTGGGCCATTCTAAGATAGCCTTAATTTTGTCTGGTTCTGTTCTCACCCCTTGAGCTGAAATGATGTGACCTAAATAAGACACCTCAGTGGCGCCAAATGAACATTTCTTGAAATTACCATGTAAAGAGTTCCTTCTCATCGTTTCTAAAACCAATCGAACATGGATCAAGTGTGCTTCCCAAGTGGGGCTGTATATGAGAATATCATCAAAAAAGATTAGCACAAATTTTCTTAAATACGCTTTGAAAACAGAATTCATAAGGGATTGAAAAGTTGAGGGTGCATTAGTCAAGCCAAAGGGCATGACCAAATATTCAAAGTGGCCAAAGTGTGTTTTGAATGCTGTTTTGTGAATATCTTTTGCATCCATTCTAATCTGATGATAGCCAGATTTAAGGTCAACCTTTGAAAAATAGGATGACCCTTGGAGTTCATCCAATAATTCCTCAATAACAGGTATTGGGAATTTATCTTTGATGGTAGCTTTATTCAGGGACCTGTAATCAACACACATCCTCCATCCTCCATCTTTCTTCTTTACCAAGACCACAGGGGCAGCATATGGACTGTTACTATCTCTAATTATACCCTGATCACACAGCTCCTGCACCAGTTCTTCAATCACTGTCTTCTGATTTGCAGGGTATCTATAAGGTCTGATATTTATTGCATCAGTACTTTCCTTCAAGGGAATCTTGTGATCGAACTGTGCCCTGCTGGGAGGCAATCCAGTGGGAGTTGCAAAGACCCTAGCATAGTCATTCAACACTTCTTGCATTGCAGGATGGCATCTATCCTACTCCTGACCCGGACATTGAGAAACCTTAAGCTGCTCTTCCCTAGGCATAGCCTTAATTAGAGAGAGTTCACCCTGGTTGCCCACTATTCTGGCCAATTGCTGGGGTTGAATCTCCCTCATTTTCTTCACAGTGGTCCCTCTAAGATTGACTTTCGGAGACTCTAACTTGAACTCCATGGTCAAGTTTTTACAAACCCCATAGTATAGGCCCTAAAGTGGCAAACCACTGGACTCCTAACACCATATCACTCCCACTGAGGGGTAGTAATAAGAAGTCAGCCTTGAATGAATATCCCTGCATTTTCCATTCAAAGTTCTTGATGACCTTATCACACCTTAACTGACCCCCATCAGCAATCTTGACCCACATAGGTGGTACTCCTTCGACTGTATATCTGAGTTTGAGAGCTGTGGGTGTATCTATGAAATTATGGGTGCTTCCTGTGTCAAGGAGGATGTGTAGAGGTTTCCTTCCCACCATCCCTCTCAACCTCATGGTATTGAAGGTACAATGGCCATCCAATGCTTACAGAGAGATCTGTGCATAAATAGGGTCTTCTGCAGTATCTTCCTCAATTCTCTGCTCAATTTCTTCCTCCTCATCTTCTACTTCCATGTGAAACAGCCTAGGTCGCCTTCCTCTGCAGTTATGACCTATTTCAAACTTCTCATCACACCAAAAGCAAAGACCCTTGATTCTCCTTTCATTCATCTCTACAGCTGTGAGAGTCTTCCTATTT